GATATTGTCTGCTGTCTTCAGGGCATTCAGTGGTTATTTTCCTCATTTATTGATTGTAGATTTGTTTGTTTAGTCCTGCTTTTTTTGTTTTATTTGGTTATATCTGAGCAGGGGAGCTGTGCGTTCTTTGTTGTTTGCTCATCTGTGAGCATGATACTTTTCACCTCCTTCTCCAATGGGCAGGGTCAGTCACTCAGGTATGGTACAGGAGGGTAGGTCCAGCTGAAGGAGAGTTGCTGGGATGGGTTGTTTGTGGCACGTACTAGGGCTGACAGTGCAGACCGGAAGTCAGTGCAGGGCAGGTTACAGTAGGCTGTGCCTGTGCTGCTTTGGAGTGTGATGTTCAGTGCATGGTGCAGGTAGGCAGGAAGGACAGGGTAGATTGTGATGTGTGGAGCCCAGATGGGTATGGGAAAGACGAGAGAGAGGAGAGAGGAACAGGAGCCAAAAACATACACACAAACAAAAAAGAATGCTAAGGGAGCTTGCTATTGGAGTGGAGAGATGAGAGACAGAAATTAGGAAAAACAAAAATGAAAAAAATAAAAAAGGTAAAAGAAAAAAATGAATGAATCGAGAAACTGGAAATGAAGAAAGACAAAAATAAGAGAAGAAAACAAAACAAAGAAACAAACAAACAAAAAAACCCAAAAACAAAGAAGAAAAAAGAAATGCTCCCAGGGATGTTCCTGTGTGTCTGTGCAGAGTAAGGGAGTAGCTTCTAAGCCCCGCGGTACTGCCCGGCTAGAAGGGGCTCCCAAGCCAAGAAAAGAAAAAGAAAACAGACAAACAAATCAAAACAGAACAAATCAGAGCAAACAAAAAAGCTCTGGGGGTCCTACCAGCGTGGTGGCACGGGCCGGGAAGCAGTTTCACAGTCTAGCGATGTTTTGCAGCCTTTCAGGAAGAAGCAAAGATGGCGTACATAGCCAGGTATTTGAAAGGAGGGGGAGGTGGTGAGAGGTAAGGAAGAAATCTAAAGAAGCAGAAAAAAGCAACACAAGCAGCCAGCAAAAGGCACTCAGTGAGCCAGCCAGTGCGAGCGGGTGAAATCTAAGTGATATTGGGGTGCTTCCTGGACAAGAGACCGTGGCTGCAGGAAGCAGAGCAGGCTAAGTGGGGGTAAAGAAGGGTGGGGCTGGGAAAGCCTATATCGCTGGTTACTGGTTGTTCTGTCTCCTGCTGGAAGCTCCGTGAAGCTGCTTTCTCGTACCCCCTGTTTGCTGATCTCTGATAGGAGTCCAAGATGGTGGATCTGTGCTGCTGTAGCTGATGGGGACCTCTGCATGTTATCTCTCCTTGCTGTCTGTTCACAGTCAGTTTCTTACTCCATTCGGTGCTTGGCTGAGTTCTTTAGCTTTTCATTTGATGTGTAGGATTTCAGGATTGATGTGTGACTCTGTTTGACTTAGTTTTTCTGCTCTTTGCTGTGGAGGGATGTCATGGTGCTTCTCACTATAGCACCATGTTGCCCGGAAGTCCTCATGTGTAAACCGTTTCATGAGTTTTTATAATAGTGTCTCATATAATATTTGTCCTTTTGTGATTGACTTATTTCACTCAGAGTAATTCCCTCCAGATTCATCCATTCATCGTGAGATGTTTTACAGATTCCTCATTGTTCTTTATTGTTGCATAGTACTCCATTGTGTGTATGTATTATAGTTTGTTTATCCATTCAGCTGTTGACGGGCACTTAGGTTGTTTCCATCTTTTTGCTATTGTGAGTAATGCTACAATGAACATCGATGTGAATATGTCTACTCATGTGATGGCTCTTATTTCTTTAGGGTATATTCCTAGGAGTAGGACTGCTGGATCATATGGTATTTCTATTTCTAGCTTTTTAAGTAAGCTCCATATTGTTTTCCAAAATGGTTGTACCATTTTGCATTCCTGCCAGCAGTGCATAAGAGTTCTAATCTCCCCTCAGCCTCTCCAACATTTGTTATTTTCTGTTTTTTTGATTTGTGCCAGTAATGTCGGGGTGAGATGGTATCTCATTGTAGTTTTGATTTACATTTCTCTAATGGCTGATGATCATGTGCATTTCCTCATGTGTCTGCAGCTGCTTAAATGTCTTCTTTGGTGAAGTGTTTGTTCTTATCCTTTGCCCATTTTTTAATTGGATTCTTTGTCTTTTTGTTGTAGAGGTGTTGGATTTTCCTATAGATTTTAGAGATTAGATCTTTGTTGGATTTGTCATAGTGAAAATTTTTTTCCTAGTCCGTAGGTTCTCTTTTTACTCTTTTGGTGAAGTCTTTTGATGAGCATAGGTGTTTAATTTTTAGAATATTCCAAGTTATCTAGCTTCTCTTCTGGTGCTTGTGTATTGTTAGTTATGGTTTTCATCCTGTTTATGTCATGTATTAGGGCCTCTATCATTGACCCTATTTTTTCTTCCATGATCTTCGTGGTTTTTGGTTTTAATATTTAGGTCTTTGATTCATTTTGAATTAGTTTTCATGTATGGTGTGAGGTATGGGTTCTGTCTCATTTTTTTTACAGATGGACATCCAGTTTTGCCAGCCCCATTTGCTAAAAAGACTATTTTTCCCCGTTTAATGGATTTTGCGCCTTTGTCGAAGATCAGATGACTGTAGGTGGATGGATTTACATCTGGGTTCTTAATTCTGTTCCATGGTCAGTGTGTCTGTTGTTGTACCCATACCCTGCTGTTTTGACTACTGTAGCTGTATAGTAGGTTCTGAGGTCAGGTAGGGTGAGGACTCCTACTTTATCTTCTTCTTCAATAATTCTTTACTTATCTAGGGCCTCTTTCATTTCCATATAAACTTAATGATTAGTTTTTCCATCTTGTTAAAGAATGCTGTTGGTATTTGGATCGGGATTGCATTGTGTTTGTAGATTACTTTGGGTAGATTTGACATTTTCACAATGTTGAGTCTACCTATCCATGAGCATGGTATGTTTTTCCATTAAGGTAGGTCTGTTTTGGTTTCTTGTAGTAGTGTTTTGTATTTTTCTTTGTATAGGTCTTTTACATCCCTGGTTAGATTTATTCCTAAGTATTTTATTTTTTAGGGGCCATTATAAATGGTATTGCTTTCCTGATTTCCTTTTCATAGCTCTCTTTATTGGTGTATAGGAATCTAAGTGATTTTTGTATGTTTATCCTGTATTCTACTACCCTGCTGAATCTTTCTATTAGTTCCAGCAGTTTTTTGGTGGAGTCTTTTGAGTTCTCTATGTATAGTATCATATCATCCACAAATAGGGACAGTTTTACTTCTTCCTTTCTAATTTGGATGCCCTTTATTTCCTTTTCTTTCCATATTGCTCTAGCTAGGACTTTCAGCACAATGTTAAACAGGAGTGGTGATAAAGGGCATCCTTGTTCCTTTTCTCAAGGGGGATGTTTTCAGCCTCTCTCCATTATGAATCATGTTGGCTGTTGGTTTTGTATAGATGTCCTTCATTATGTTAAGGAATTTCCCTTCTATACTTATTTTATTGAGAGTTTTTTTTTTTTCAGAAATGGGTGTTGGACTTTATTGCATGCCTTTTCTTCATTGATCGAGATGATCATGTCATTCTTTTATTTATGTGGTGGATTACGTTGATTGCTTTTCTAAGGTTGAACCATCCTTGCATACCTAGTATGAATCCCACTTGGTTGTGGTATATTATTTTTTTGATATGATGCTAAATTCTATTGGCGAGAATTTTGTTGTGAATTTTTGCACCTATAGTCTGGAGAGATGTTGGTCTGTAATTTTCTATTTTGTGGTGTCTTTGCCTGGTTTTGGTATCAGGGTTGTTCTAGCTTCACAGAATGAGTTCAAAAGTATCCCTTCCATTTCTATATTCTGAAATAGTTTGAGTAGTACTGGTGCAAACTCTTCTCTGAAAGAACACAATAATTCTTATTGTCTCTAGCACTTAGCACAAGCTATCTTAGCAGAAGCTACGGTTAGGTTGAGTTACATACCTCTCAAGAGAGGAACAAGTTAATCAATTCTTAGTATCCCCAACAGCTGGAGTGCCTTGCAGACCGTTAGATTCAACAGCTGTTGATGACGATCACCACTCCTTAGAATGAAATTGTTAATTATATTTCCCCAAAGACGGCTGCTGATTGGTTTCTCCACTAAAACTGTTTCTCAGGTCCTCAAAAATCCCAAGCACACTGGTTTAGTGCTGCTGCACTTAATACATACTTGTTGTTGTGTGTGCCTTTAAGTCAATTCCGACTCATAACGACCCTATAGGACGGAGTAGAACTGCCCCATAGGGCTTCCTAGGCTGGAATCTCTACCAGAGCAGATGCCATGTTTTTTCTCCTGCAGAGCAGCTGGTGGGTTCAAACCTCCCCCCTACCCGCGACCTTTCCGTTAGTAGCGGACTGCTTAACCATTGCGTTGACAGTGCTCCTTTAATACTAAGAGGGAAGGACAATTGCTTCAATATAAAGGATCATTGGCTACTTATGAAGTCACTAACTATATAAGTAATAATACATGAGATTTGTATTTGAATTGATTAAATGTGCCTAAAGTGGTAACCCTTCTGGGAAGATGTGAAAAATAAACAGCCTTTCAGTACCACAAAGCCTCTTTCTTTGAATCACGACGCTCTAGAGAAACCGTAAAACACCTCTCAGGCGGCTAGAAGATCGCTCCCGGAAGGAGGAACGCTGAGGAGGCGGGCTTTAATGTCTTTGCCTGCAGATTGGCTAAACCGAACCGCCTGCCTCCGTGATTGGTCACTACTGGACTGGCACGCGGTTCCGTTCGTCAAATCTAGAGGCAGGTGACAATGGCGGCTGCGGACGCCTCGACGACTCGCCTGGCCCCTTCTTCCTATCCGCAGATGGGGCGGAAGAATCGGTTCTGGGGTGCTGCCGAGATACAGTGCACCCGGTGTGCGAAAAAAGTGTCCAGAGTTTCCGGTGAGGAACCCCGAAGATTAAGCCCTTCCGGCCATCCCCGACCTTGCCGGCCTGTTGGGCCCCAGCCTCCTTCCGCCGCAGTGCGGCCCCTGGCAGCAGGGAGAGTGAGACCTGTCCAAGACAGATGTGAGGGAAAGTGTGCTGAGGGTGTGGATGAGCCATAAACAGTGAGTGGTATGAAATGCGTCATTAAAGCGCGCATCCGCACTCAACCTCCAGAGGGCAGCTTCCCGCCTCTCCCTCGGCTCGCTCCGCCCCGCTCGTAATGACTGTCCGAGCCGTTAGAGTGGAAGCCCTCGTGGCTTTAATGTACCCTTTACAGGACAGCGTGTGAATTCTCTTGAGTACTGTTTCGAGCGCGTCCTCAGGTTCACGAAAGAGTAGTTCATGAGCTCTTCGGCTAGAAATTTAGTCAGTTGCCTTGTGGTCAGGAAGTAACGAAACTGATTTTCTTGCGTTGCTTTTGTTAGTGTTTGAGTAGTAGACCACTCTGAAATGTTACTGAGTTGATAAACAGATAAATATTGTGTGCGGATGAGTCCGTTCCGACTCATAGCCACCCTGTGGGATGGAGTAGAACTGCCCCATAGGGCTTCCCTAGGCTGTACTTTTTAAGGGAGCAGATCGCCAGATCGTTTCTCCTCTAAAAAACAGATATAGGACTTTAAAATGTAGCTTGGTTGTAAGCAAGTTTCAGATATTTCAGTTGGCTAAAAAAAAATTGTCAAGCTTTTTTTTAAAATCAAATTAGTGTAATTATCAATACAATTCAGCAAGAAGGCTATAATTTTTTTGTTATTAACAGATGACTGATTTTATCTAGTTTCTTTTTCTTTTTCGTTTTTACTTGTCTCATGAAAAGTCTTTTAAAATGACAACTTTCCAAAGTTATATAGCTAAGGCAAATATGTTTATTATGGTAAACTTCAAATTCTACTTCAAACAAACAAAAACCAAACCCATTGCCGTAGAGTTGATTCCGACTCATAGCGACCCTATAGGACAGAATAGAACTGCTCCATAGGGTTTCCAGGGAGCGCCTGGTGGATGCCGACTGCCGACCCTTATAGTTAGCAGCTGTACTTCTTAACCTCTTAACCACTGTGCCACTTAGAGCCTTAAAAATCTCAATAACTAGGTTTTTAACCAAGATTATCATATTTCCTTAAGTAAATGTTTAAAAAACCAAACCAGGTGCCATCGATTCTATTCCAGCTCGTGGTGAACCCCGTATGTGTCAGAGTAGAACGCCAGGGATTTTCAGTGGCTGATTTTTTGGAAGTAGATCACCAGGCCTTTCTTCTGAGGCACTTCAGGGTGGACTTGAACCTTCAACTTTTCAGTTAGTAGCCGAGTGCATTACCGTTTGCACCGGTCGTTGCTTGAAATAGATGCTGGCTTTGTGAAAATGATCTTTATGTGTTACTGTGTTGTAACAATGATAACGTCTGGCATCTCTCCTATAAAAGAGAGCCTTGCCAACATCATAGATCATCATAAGCAAAGGCTCTTCCTATAAGAGAGAAATCTTCCCAATGTCTTACATTAGCCTTCTCTGTCTCCTTCACAGAATTGGAGGTATAAATTAGTAGAGGGCAATATGATCAAGTAATAAGAATGCTGGACTTGGAAACACAGCTAAGTTGGAGACTGGATTATACAATTTAATTACCCAAATCATGAAAATATTTTTTTCATCTCTAGGTTGGGTATGATATTTACAAAGATCACATGAAATATGTGACAGCAGTTTGTATGATTATAATTCAAAATATAATCGGTATCAAATAACTGTATGTGAATTAATTCAAATGCAAATATTTCATAGTTCTACCTGGTTTTTCTTCTTGACTTTTCTCTCTCCTTCTGACTTGTAAAGTTTCTCCTGAATTACTTTAATAACTCACCCATTTTCTAACTACACTAGGTATCTCTCCCTATACAATAGAATCCCCTTTGAATTTCTCCTCAGATCAGTACAGCCCATTCATCGTAACCAAACAATGGAAAGTTTAATTCACAATAGAATTTCATCAATAGGTCACCATCATGAACTTCAATGTGGACATGCCTTTTGTGAACTGTGCTTGTTAATACCTGAAGAATACAGCACAATTATATGCCCTGATTGTGAGGTAAGTTTCATAATTTTTCGTAATGTTTCATAATTTTTCGTAATGAATGCTTTACAGTTAAAGTAAAAACGTTGGAGAAGTAAAACATACTTCTAGTTGGAAACTAAAATCTTGGATTTTTACGCTGAGGTTTTAAGCAAAGAAGCCTAGCAAAAGTTAAAAGCTTTTCCAGTCCATTTTATAATTGTGACCAAGGAAAATAAAAGGTTAAAGCCATACATTTATCAGGCCACATATTTTGAGTCTTTAGAGACCTCTTTGGGAAATGCTAAACTAAAAGTAACCCTTTGCTTCCTTTTTTCTTTTCCCCATCTTATTCTTAACTCTGCCTCCCCTTTTCCTCACCAATACCATGCAAACAAATTTTGAACTCCCCTGCACTTCTAACCTTTGTGTGTCGTCAAATTTAGGTTTGTAGGTATACCATAGTATAAAAAAGGCAGACAAACTGAACAGTGGCTAGAAGTTAATGCTTACTATCAGAAGCACTAAAAATAGTATAGTTGCCCTAGAACTAAAATCAGTTGATCCATAAAATGAGAACAAATTAAGGATTTTGAATAAAATTACTGAGAGCACCCTTTGCATTTACTACAAATACGAATGAGTTAAATTTTGTTGTTGTTGTAGTTTAAGTGAATGTTTACAATTCAAGTTAGTCTCTCATACAAAAATTTATACATACATTGTTATGTGACCCTAATTGCTCTCCCTGTACTGTGACAGCACATTCTTCCTTTCCACGCCTGATTTCCCATGTTCATTCAACCAGCTCTTAACCCTCTCTGCCTTCTCATCTCACCTCCTGACAGAAGCTGCCCATTTAGTCTCTTGTATCTACTTGAGCTAAGAAGCACACTCTTCACGAGTATCGTTTTATGTCCCACAATCCAGTCCAATCTTTGTAAGAGTTGGCCTTGGGAATTGTTTTAGTTCTGGGTTGACAGAGAGTCTGGGAGCCATGCTTTCTGGGGTTCCTCCAGTCTCAGAACATTAAGTCTGGTCTTTTTACTAGAATTTGAGTTCTGCATCCCACCCTTTCCCCACTCCATCAGGGACTCTCTGTTCTGTTCCTTGTCAGGGCAGAGAATGAGTTAAATTTTTATAGCATGTTTCTGGAAAGTTGTATTAACCTATAAGTTCTTAAAGTTCCACTTGAGAGATCAGATGATGAGGATTTGTAACATTTATTTTTTGTGACAGTGTGGCAAACAATTGATAAGGAGACAGAAGACCTAGAATGCAGTCCTAGTTCTGTCACCCTAAGCTTGAGCTTCTTCATTTGTGAGATAGAAATAATTAATACCTGCTTTGTCTTATAGGATTGTAAGAATCAAATCTGAATTATGTAAAAGTTCTCTACAAGGTATGAGACCATTAAAATAGATGTTATAGTCTACCCTTGATAATTTAGGTGTGGATTAACTGGTTTGCAGGTTAAATGTGGTAAAAATATGCATATTATAATTTGTGAAAGTTTTAATTATAGCAAAAACATTTACATATCATAAGTTGTCTATTTACATTACATTATCTGTGACCTATTCTAGCCACCCGTCCTCTTGCCCCCCACCCGTACTATTACTACAGGTAATGGAGAAGTGACTGTATGCAGATTCTTCAGATGCACTACAGCTGGTTCCCATTTAAAGAAGTCGTTTAAGAAACCTTCCTTAAATTGTCACCGCTCTTGTATTAATTTTTAAAGTTTGTATTTTTGCCAGTATGTAATATTTATTTGGAATAAGATTAGAAAGAATGGAAGAATCTAGTCCGAATTAGTGAAAAGTGTGAATTTATATAATATTTAAGAAATATAATGTATGTGGTCTAAAAAAGTAAGATTTAAATACCTATATTCGCATTAAACCCATTCAGCTGCTTCGTTGGAGAAAGACCTGGCATATACTACAGCCTAGAAAATCCTGTGAGGCAGTTCCCTGTCGCATGTGGTTGCTGAGTCAGAATAGACTCTACCGCACCTAACAAAAACAACAACAATTCACATTAGATTTTCATTTATAATTTATCTTTAACATTGAAGGTCTAGGTGATACTGTTTATTCTAAACTTAAACCTGAAATGATTCCATTCAAGATTAATAGGTATCTTTTTATTCTTGTTTCTGAGTTTGGGTAAATATGGATTGATTTGCTAATCTTTATCTTGCATAGTTGTATGGTTTTTTATAACATCCTTTCTGTGCTTTTGACTGATATTCTGGTTAATTAATAACCATTCTTTAATTTTGTACAGTAAGATGACAGAGATTTTGTTCAATGATAGGATCATATTCAGTTATGATTCCAGAAATACTGGCATTTTAGTGATGTTTTGGACCCAGGTCCGAAAATACATTGAGCCCTGAGAAAAGAATAAGTCAATCTAATCAGTCATCTTGTCAAAAGGATAAGTCATCAATCAGTATATAATTAATATATATTAAAACTGCTTCTGTATTAGAAATGTTATTTATATAAAAATTAAAAATGTGAGTTAGAAGAAAATATGAATTATTGTTGGGGATGTCTTATTAAGCAAATCACTGAAGTCAGAAATCACAAAAGAAAAGCTTGTTAAATTTAACCACATTTTTTCACTTGCAGGCAACAAAAACAAACAAGCAAGCAAAAACACCACCATAAATAAAATTTAAATGACAAGCTATTGGGGGGAAAAAGAAAACCTTTGTTGTATATATTACAAGATAAGAGTATTAATACAATTTTATAACAGTTTTATTTAATATTTTTGTAAACTTTCTGGAAGAAGTTTCCTGTACCTAATCTGCTGATAGTAACGTTAACCTCTTAACTATCAACTCTCAAGCGGAAGAAGAAAAATGAGGAGTATAGGAATTAGGATTTTAGCCCCCAAAAAAAGTTTAGGGGGAAGCTTTAAAAATAACATTCAGTCCAGTGTGATTTGTTAAGAGTAACTCTTTTACTCTGATAAACTAATGGCCAAACCAATGGTACATACTGAAAACCTTTACAGAACATCCTCTTCCCTACCAAAAACGTGTATTTTTAAAAAAAATGGGAGAGTGTAACATTTAGTAGACTGCTTTTTTTCTATTGCCTATTCTCATGAAAGTTTCCTACATTATTTTTAATGGTTGCATAATAAATTATGGTACATGTATGCTATAATTTTCTTAACCAGTCCCTTTACTGATGGACATTTTAGTGGTTTTTACTTTATTTTTCACTATATCATTGTAAGGTCCTCAAACCTACCCCATGCTCCCCCAAAATTCCATCTACATGCTCTGTAATTTCTAGCTCCAACACAACTCCATGTTTGGATATGTCATTTTGTTTTGTTTCGTTTTTTAATTTTTGGCAATTTGATGGGTAAAAAAAATGAGTGCGTCATTGTTTTAAATTGCAATTCCTTGACTCCTAGTGAGGTCAGGTAGTTTTCATATGTTTGACTTATCCTCTTCTGTTAAGGATCTTTAACAAATCATTTCAGATCCTTTGCATGTTTTCCTTTTGAATTGTTTGTATTTTTCCTAACTTGTAAAAGATCTTCATGTGATAAAGATGTTAACTCTTTAACCCTTGGTCCGCTGTATTATAAATATTTTCTCCCAAATCTATCACTTATGATTTTATTACATTTAGTCTTCAGAAATATTTCCTTCTTAAAGGACAAGTATAAGAGCACTATTATAAGAACTCAAGAAAAGGTTTAAACACAGAAGAAAGCATTCTTTGATGGTTACGAAGGTGGGGAGGGAGGGTGAGGGTTATTTACTAACTAGATAGTAGATAAGAATTATCTTAGATGAAGGGAAGGACAGTATAGACTACAGGGGAAGTTAGCACAACTGGACTAAACAAAGCTAAGAAGTTTCCTGAATACAATGAAACACTTAGAGGGACAGAGTAGCAGGGGTAGGGGTCTGTGGACCATGCTTTCAGGGGACATCTAGGTCAATTGGCATAACAAAGCTTATTAAGAAAATGTTCTGCATCCTGCTTTGGTGAGTGGCATCTGGGGTCTTAAAAGCTGGCAAGCGGCCATCTAAGATGCATCAATTGGTCCCAACCACCTGGAGTAAAGGAGAATGAAGAACACCAAAGTCACAAGGAAAGTATTAACCCAAGAGACAGAAAGGGCCACATAAACCAGAGACTTCATCAGCCTGAGACCAGAAAAACTAGATGGTGCCCAGCTACCAGCAGTGACCACCCTGACAAGGAACACCACAGACGGTCCCGGATGGTGCAGGAGAAAGGTGGGATGCAGAACTCATTCTAGTAAGAAGACCAGATTTAATGGTCTGACTGAGACTAGAGGAACCCTGGAAAGCATGGCCCCTGGATTCTCTATCAGCCCAGAACTAAAACAATTTCCCAGGCCAGTTCTTCAGACAGGAATTGGACTGTACTGTAGAACATAAAGTGATACTAGTGAGGAGTGTGCCTCTTAGCTCAAGTAGACACAAGAGACTAAACGGGCAGCCTCTTTCCAGAGGTGAGATGGGAAGGCAGAGAGGGTTAGGAGCTGATTGAATGGACACGGGGAATCGGGTGGAAAGGAGGAGTGTCCTGTCACAGTATGGGGAGAGCAATTAGGGTGACATAACAATGTGTATATAAATTTTTGTATGGGAAAAAATAAAAAATATTTCCTTAAGTATCTAGTTGGTTTTCCCCCTCCTTTGTGGCTTCTAAGTTTTCCCTTTGATCAGAAAAATGTTGTCATTTCAAAGTTATATATATATATTTAAAAATCATTCTATATTTTCTTTCCATGCTTATGTTTTTTTAAAGATATATATTTATTCCTTCTATCATAGACTTTATATGATGTAAGGTGCATATATAACTTTATTCTTCAGAATGATAAGCTGACTTTTCCTACATTTAGTGAATAATCTTTCCTCCATTTAATTGAAATGTCACTTGTATTCTGTATTAAGTTTCCGTATATATATGTGGATCTATTTCAAGGCTCTGTTCTACTGATTTATTGTGCCAGTACCATAGTATTTTAATTAGAGAAGCTTTAATCTTATTATCTTGTGGGATAAATCTGTACTGAATGGTATTTTTAAAAGTTTTGTAATTCTTGCACCATGTTTTTCCATATAAACTTTCAAATTATACCAATTTTATGTTACATGGATTGACATGTTAGGATATTAAGCCTTCCTGTCCAGGAACTTGGCGTGATTTTCCATTTAGTCGGTTGTTTTTTATGACCTCTAATAAAAAAAACTTTTTTTTTTTGTTTTCTTTACTTAGAGATTTTATTTTTTCTTGTTAAATTTTTTTCTAAATATTTTAGAATTTTGAACATATCTTTAAGATAACTTTGTAAAATACAGTAAATTTGTAAAGTATTGCAAGCATTTCATTTAAAATGTGGTAGGATGGGGTGTTTAAATTTAATATTCTGTTTAATAGTTGCCAAATTACCAGTTTCTTCCAAAAATTAAAATAAGGTAGACAGATCATAAAAGCACAGTTTTTTCTTTGATTTTGGGAGGACTTTAGGGTCTTTAAAGTTCTGTCATATGGGGTCACTATGAGTTGAAAACGACTTGATGGCACCTAAGGCGCCTAACAAACAAGCAAAAGTTACTATCAACTTTGTCTATGAATGACACTTGTTGGATTCTGGATAAACAGTTTATTGAATGACTTTCTAGGGTTTTTTTTTAAATCTTATTTTGTCCTTAGGTTGCTACAGCTGTAAGTACAAGGCAAGGAAACTATCCAATAGATGGATCTATTAAAGAAGATTCTTTTATGGAAAGACTGCAGCCTAAAAAGTATGTCCTGTATACACTTATTTTAGTATTTAAAGTTTAGTATATTTCTGAAAGAATAATTTTAAATTTACTGATAAAATGTCATTCTTAGGTCTGTGTTTATAACCCATTGTTTATAGAGTGTTCTTTAAGTTCATAGTTTTGTCTTAGCTGTCAAGGGGATGTAGAATCCAACGCCTAGAGGAGCAAAATTAGTTTGTCTTTGTTTAAAGTGGAAAAAAGAACACAAGGATTGTGACATCAAGACGAGAAAAGCTGAGAGTACATAACTAGCAAAAGTTAATGGTGCCAGATAAGAGGAAGATGTGGAGAAAAAATAACTTATTTCTCTGCTTATGCTTAAGAGTAGCACAATAGGGGACTTTGGTAAGAGGTGACTTGAGAGTGTTGTAACAGGAAAATTAATAACTTTAGGATTGTTTTATTCTTTTTCCCTTAAGACTTTGCACATGTATGTGTTAATAAATGCTTTTTTTGAATGAGTAGAAACCCTGGTGGCATAGTGGTTAAGAGGTCAGCTGCTAACCAAAAGGTCGGCAGTTGAAATCCACCAGGCACTACTTGGAAACCTATGGAGCCGTTCTGCTGTGTCCTATAGGGTCACTATGAGTTGGAATCAACTTGAAGGCAGCGGGTTTGTTTTTTTTTTGTTTTTTTTTAATGAGTAATGCTGAGTTTTTGTTTTGTTTCTGTTTCTTTTAAACAAACCCCAACTAGAGTCAAGCCATCCGTGTTTTTATTGCACTGCTAGTCATTTGAAGACATGGACCACATTTAATTTTTCTCTACTTCCCTGGTGGTGGACACAGAGCAAACATAATAAATGTTTGTTAGATGAAGAACTATAATATCCTGATATTTACTGTAGTCTTTTGAAAATATTTGATTCTAGCTAAGTTTACCTTTAGGAATGACTATGGGATCATGGTGAAAAAGTGGTAAAGTTTGACTTTGCAACTTTCTCAGTGTTAAAGAACCCTTTTTATCAATACCTAATCAATTTACTGGGATCCTCCGAAGTTGGTAATTATATTTTTATCTAACTTTTAACTTTTTAAAGCATATTTAATATGGTAATAGACCATGTGGGCTATAAAGGAAATAATTAGACACCGTCAAGGAACAATCTCATTTGGAACTTGCCAGTTTTGTTAATGGCACCAAGTATTTATAAATCACATCAATTTCTCATGTTCCATATATACTACTTCCTACGGATTTAACTTCCACAATTATCTCCCATATCCATAACACACTTTCCATTTCTTCTACCCTATTCTCTTTCGCATACCTCCTTACCACTTTCAGACTCTCCTCTGCTCATGGTTCCTCATTGCCTATCCAAATAAAATGAAAAATTCTCTAAACTAGAATTCTTGGCTTCATTACTGCTGCAGCTTCTGTTTGAACTTAAATGGGTGTTTAGAAAGAAACCAAAAGAACAGTGAGTAAAACTACTTACCTAAAGTCTGACAGCTGGTTATTAACAGAACTAGAACCCAAGCTTAGTGAATGTTAGCCCTATGTATGTATTCCATTGTATGTATGTACCACATTTTTTTTATCCACTTATCATCTGTTCATAGGCAGTTAGGTTATTTCCACTTTTTGGCTACCTTTTGGCTATTTGGATAGTGCTGCAGTGAACATTGGTGTGCAAGTATCTGTTTGAGTCCCTAATTTCCAGTTTTTTGGAAATATACTTAGAAGTGAAAGTTCTGGATCGTATATGGTAATTCTTTGCTTAATTCAGCTGGTTTTTGACAGGACTTCGAACCTGGTTCTACCCAGTACAGTTATGGCTGAGGAAGCAAAACCAGAACAGGCCAAGATTTTTTAAATTTGGATGAACCAGAAAGATAACCAGAATGGGAAAAATTGCAGGTTGAAGCCTTGCTAGGTTAAATAATCTCCCTCTTAGAAAACAAAGGCAGCATACGCATATCAGCCAAATCTCTTGTCTGTCAGATTTTGAGTAGAGTTGGAAACAGCAGTGTCCCACTCAAAGATGGCAGCTGACTGCACTGCTTAGAATGTGTGTTTCTATCCACAACCCTGCCAGTAATCCAGTCTCCCACATCAGGCCCTGAAAGGACTCACTACGTCTCCGGAGTCTCCCATACCAGGGCTTTGAGTGTAATTTTTTCTGTTCTCAGTTATCATTCTGGTTCACCGAAATTTTAAAAATGCTGGGTCTCTTCTGATTTTGCTTCATCGGCCATGACCAAACCAGTCTGAACCAGTTTGAAGCCCTGGTTTTTGATTACCCTAAAAAGTATAATAGAAAAAATACTGGGTTTAAAGCCTGAAGGCCAAAGTTCATGCCATAGTTTCTCCATTTCCAGTGTCAGACAATCTGGATTCAAATCCTGGTTCTGTTACTTTTACTGTGTTCTGTGAGCAGGTTAGTTAACCTCTCCATTCCTCAACTTCTACATTTCCAAAATAGAGCTATTGTAATAACAACCTTAGAAGATGTGTTGTAAATTAGACATGAATACATGTTAAATGCCTAAACAATTCTTTTCACTTAAATAGTCAGTCAATTATAGCTACTATTATAATTGCTAAACCCTAGACACCCAGATGCAAAGATCAAACACAACCACTATCCCTCCCCTTCTGGAAGATTGCAGTTTAGTTCTTCCTAAAAGCAAGAGATGACACTCAGGCTTAGCCATCACCAAATGCCAAGCCCCTTGTTTTCAGTGTAAATATAACAGACCGTTAGTAGGGTGCTGGTCCCCAAACTCCAGTCTTGTAGAGACACTGCCCTGCCAAGGCAGCAGAAAAATTGTGGCCATAAAAATTAGATTATTGTTCTAAAAACTTTCCTAATGGGAAATAGTTTCTTTGGTTGATTCTACAAGCCACACACTGGAGCTCTTGTGTTATAAGGAATACAAGGATCTTTAATGTAGCACAACCATCTCTCCTAGTTTAACAGAATTTTTTTTTTGTTTTTACGTAATCTTAGCATGTAATTTTCATAGCACAGAAAACTTATTGTATTACCCAATGTTAAAATGCATAGTTGGTAATAGTATAAAATTTTTTATTGTGGTAAATATATATGTAACAAAACATTTGTAACTTCATAATTCTTCACATGTACAATTCAGTGTCACTGTGTTCATCCCATTGGGTAACAATGACCATTATCCATTTCCAGATTTTTCTATCATTTTTAACAGGAGCTCAGTGTCCCCCTAGTAATGAGTACCCCCTCCCTCCTGCCTTCCCCTGGTAATCACTAATAAACTATAAGTGGAGTCATACAATATTTCTCCTTTTATGACTCACTTATTTCACTCAGTATGATGCTTTCAGGGTTCATCCATATTGTGGCATGGATCAGGTCTTCATTTCTCTTTATGGTTAAATAATATTCCATTGTATGTATGTACCACATTTTGTTTACCTGCTCATCTGTTAATGGACATTTAGGCTGTTTCCATCTTTTGACTATTGGGAATGATGCTACAATGAACGTTGCTGTACATGTATCTGTGCTTCTGCTTTCAGTTCTTGTAGGTGTATACTTAGAATTGCTGGATCATATGGTAATTCTACATTTAACATTTTGAGCTGCCAGACTGTTTTCCACAGCAGCTGTACCATTTACAATTCTACCAGCAATGATTGAGGGTTCCTCTGTCTCCACATCTTCACCAACACCTATTGTTTTCCATTTTTTAAATTGTAGCTGCCTATGAAATTCATAACCCATTGCCCTCGAGTCGATTCCGACTCATAGCGACCCTACACGACAGAGTAGAACTGCCCCATAGGGTTTCCAAGGAGCGGCTGGTGGATTCAAACTGCCGACCTTTTGTTTAGTAGACAAGCTCTTAACCATTTCACCACCAGGGATCCATAGCCATCTTAGTCGGGGTGAAATAATAATCTCACTGTGGTTTTAATTTGCGTTTCTCCAATGACTAATGATGTCAAGCTTCTTTTCATGTTCTTATTGGCCATTTGTATTTCTTCTTTGTTGAATTGTCTATTCAAGTCCTTTGCCAATTTTTTGATTGGGTTGTCTTTTTGTTCTTGAGTTATAGGAGTTCTTTATATTTTCTGGATATTAAACCCTTATCAGATATGTGGTTCCCCAAAATTTTCTCTCAGTCTGTAGTCATCACTTTGTTTATAAAGTCCTTTGATAAGCAAAAGTTTTTAATTTTGATGAGGTCCCATATATCTATTTCAGATCTTCCATTTTTTTCAAGAGAAACTAGAAATCTGGACTTTATGTGAAATTTCCTGACTTTTTAAACACCATGCAGGTCAAATCAGATTGTACTATTGTCTATGTATGTAATAGTAGGGTTGCAAAGTGAAATTTCACTTTTGGTAGTAGCTGAATCCATCTTAACCAGAAAAAAAAACCCAAATTTGTTCCAAATTATCATTTTTAAAAGTAAATTCTGCATATCAAGTATACTTACGGGAGATACTTTCTAAGTACCATTTGATTTAAAATAGTTGTATATGTAAATTGAAGTAATCCTTTGACACATAATGTACAATATTTTCTTACTTATCTTCACTATTTTGAAACAAAAGTTGAATAATGAACTCTTCAGGACTCACGCATTCATTTATGTTTTCAAGAATGTGAATAATTCACTTTTGAAAGTAATTGAATGCTTAAAAATTATTTTAGTACTTTTCTCTGTAAAAGTAATGTATTTAAACATCATAGTTTCTTCTGTAATAGGCTTATTTACTTAGCAAACACTGTTGACTGTTTGCTAGCCAATATGAAGATACAAAGATAAAATAGGCAAAAAGTTTGACCTCTGTAGACAAGAGAAATGGCAGCTAACATTTTCTTTGCAATTAACTTTTACCTAGTTAAATCATTACTTTTTAAAAAAATTATCCACACTTATAAGTACGATTTTTTTTTTTAATACTTGTACTTTACTAGCTGGCATTTGTGTGTATAAATATTTATTTTAATTGATGAGCATAAGACATTTTAATGATCAGCAACATCTCTACCAAAGAACATCAGGTAAGGCTAAGTGATTAAGAAATTAAAACATAATTTATACTTTAAGCTATTATTTTTAGGAATTTGTTAAGAAGTTGAATACTTGGTTAAAATTAAGCTTCATATGAGAGTATATTCACTCATGATTTCCCTCCTCCTCACTTATCATAGGTAATTGAAAACCCATTATATGTGTTTTTATAAGTCATCATATGACTTATTTTTGATAGAAAGTAAAAATCAGAATAGGATGTTAAAAATGTTAATGTTGTTAAAACCAAACGAAACCCGTTGCCGTTGAGTCGATTACAACTAGTAGTTTAAAATAATATACTTGACATTTTTCAGGACAAAGAATTGTTCTCAGGATTTTAAAAAGACTGCTGATCAGCTAACTATTGATTTTGAAAATTCAACGTCCATACACAGGACTGTTTTGAACCCATCAACTATAATGGCGGTATGAAATATGTTCGTGAAATAAGATGAAGATAGTATTTTGACTTTGTCTGTGATAGCTTAACTTTTTTCCTCTGTCAAGGTTTCTATACTTATAGATTGTCTTGGAAGTTTAAAACTGACAGTAGTAAATTCATTATCATTACTTGAATCTCTTGTTTTATTCTAAGCTATGCATGAACAATTCTCTTCTTAACTTTGACCAACCCTGTTAGGAAGTTATTGTTGAGTCAGTTCAGATTCATGGTGACCCCAAGTGTGCAGAGTAGGACTGCTTTATAGGGTTTTCAAGGCTGTGACCTTTGGGAAGCAGATTGCCCTGTAATTTCTTCCCTTTGAGCTGAGTTAGTAAATCCAGATTTCATAGAAACATGTATGAAGTACATGTTTCTAAGTTCTGTGTATGGTTTTCCAATTATTTTAATGGAGACCAAAAGGCCTAACTGCGTTTGTTGTTGCTGTTGGGAGGCTGAATTTTACTGTTACCACTCCTGATAACTTTAAATAATGCATTGTTTTAATTTAGGATTAGAAATACAAAAAATTCCAAAATGCTGTTGAATGAAGTATTAAGTCTTTTGTTAAGGATGTCATTAATGGGCCGGAGGAGGGGGAGGATCATTTAACTTGCTACCTTTTCCTTCAAGTTTAAGTTTTAACATAGCCAAATTATCTTTTTTGTTAGTACCTGTTTATAATTCTTAACTGTATAAAAGTACATTTATTGCCATTATAAATTGTTTAAGACAGTTTTAAGTTGAAAATGGTTACAGGGTATAATCCCTTTTAAAAAAAGATATTTTTATAAAAATATCTGGAATGTTATCACCAAAGCTCTAAAATGTTAATGGCCTTTATCTCTGGGCAAACAAGATTAAAAGTGTTATTCTTTTGTTTCTTGTTTTCATATTTCTGTAGTGGGTCTGTGTTGCTTTTATAACTAAAGTGGTAGCTTGATGTTTTTGCAGCTACAATGTGTATCTAAGTATCTGCTTTTATATTTGTATGTGGTTCCCTCCCCTTCTTAGGAGACTAAAACTACAGAAGAAATTGATGAAGCATTGAAGATAGCAGGTTATAATTTTGAACAATTAAATATTGCTGTAAAAGTAAGCATTTTGAATGATTAAATTCTACCATAAAAATATGGGTTTTTTTCTTTACATGAAATCATGCATGATCTTTATAATATGTACTTTTGGGTGTATTATCACTGCAGTTAGAGCGTAGCATTGATTTATTAAAACAACATGATAATTTAATGATAGAGAAACATACAAAAGAATGGAAATGTTTCCTGTGGCCTGCCAGAATTGATCTTGCAGCATTGCTGTGCTAGCGGCCTAATGAAATTGGAACTCTGTTACGGAACCACGATTTCAGAAGTATTGCAGATCATCTTTCCAACACTTGCTCACTATTTACCTAGAGAGTCTTACTCTCTTTTCTCTCTACCCAATCCCCCCTCCCAGAAAAGAGTCTCATTTAATGACAAAGAACAAGCTCCTAAGAACTCAGCAACAACAAATACGTAATCAGGGAGTTGAAAAGGTTATAGCCGATTATGCTGTGGCTCCTTTTTTGCAGGGTGGGACAGAACATTTTTTGATTGGCTAAAAGTGACTGTAAAAAGTCAGGTTTCTTGAGGAATGAGAAATATAATAAAAGTCACAAAGTAGACCAGTCACAAAAGAAGAAAAACATTGAGAGAAGAGGGGCAGAAAGAATGTCACCTGTGATGAGAATCATTAATAAGAAAATAAGTAGCAGATGTAATAGAGAAAAGCAAGTTAGTGGAAAACAGATGAGAAAAGAAATCTCTGATTTGAGAAGGGCTGGTGAGACCAACAGAGAACGCCTGTACCGTCTAATTCAATACAGTAGCCATTAGCCACATGTGGCTTGAAATTTAAATTAATTAAAATTAAGTAAACTAGAAAATTCAGTTCCCCAGTCACACTAGCAACATTTCAATTGCACAATAGCCACACGTAGCTAGTGGCTATCATATTGGGCAGTACTGAGGACATTTCTATCATTTCACAAAATTCTCTTGGACAGTGCTGGCTTAGAACTTAATATCCCCTAAGAACATAAATGTTCAATAGTTGTAGGACATCTGTTGTTAGATAGTTGTAGAGCTTACACTGAGAAAGCCTGGTTAGTGTATGGTGATGTTTTTACTTTGCCTGCTGGTAAGAACAAGGATGATAAAGTATGGAGTGTTGTTACAAAAATCAGTTCTTATGAAATCCTATGTTTGTTTTAAACATGAAGATGTAATTCATTATGGCTTGTGTCTTGAATATTTCAAATAATTTTGAGAAAACTATTGCCTGGTATTTATCTTCATAAAAAGTACTAGGATTTAAAGTTGAACCTTGTAACTTACTCCATTTATTATCATCTAATTTTCTCTTGTGTTGTTATTTTGAAAAGTCCAAAAAGTGACTTTTATTTTCAAAATTACATTGAATAGTACAACTTCTACAAAATACAGATACCAAATTAGGTCTTCCTATTATGTTTTTCCAGATGCTTGAACACATGCAGAATCAAACAGAAGAGGAGACAGACAGTCTTATAGAGGTTATTGAGAAACAATTTGATCAACTTTTTACTTCTCTTGATTCCAGGTAATAATTTGAAACTGTGGACTCAGTGAAACTGAAGTTTTTAACATTAACTTATCATATTATCTCTTTGATTAGATTGAAGTAGTGAATAACTTTTGAATAGATTTGGACGGTAATGGGTGGTTCCTACAGACTGATTATATAGCTTCAAAATGAAGAACAATTAGTACGTTTTTTTAAATTTTGGCTATTTGCCTTCTCGTCCCAATACTAACTGTTAAACCTCTTTTTTTTTTTCTTTTTTTTATATTTTATTGTACTTCAGGTGAAGG